TTTATGTGTATTGGTTTTCTCTATTCTCCAATCCATAGATGCTCTGCATCATGTAACAACAAAAAGTCTATTCCAAATAATTATAAACATGAGAATCAAAAAAAAAAAAAAAAAATAATAATGATTTCTTCGTTGATTCCTAAAATCTTCAATGGAATTCCATGTGAATAGTTAGCATCAAAATTCACAATTCATATCATGTGTACACTACACCTAAAATCAATAAATCAGAATCTAAATCCATAGTCAGCAAAATCACCAATTAAATTCTTCAATGACACTATGGAACTAAAAGGTAACAACTTCATTACCTTGAAACCTACATGGTTATTGGTCATATTCATTAACTAATCTGAGGAATACATCTGTTTATTCAATTTAACTGTTACACAGAACCAAAAGACAAGGAAAAAAAACATTTATTTTTTTTGTTTTCTTTTCTAGGGTTTACCTAAAGGTAGACAGTTCTAATTCGTAACCACCAATATAACTTGTCATTACTACAAAATGGAAATAACAAGAGTTAATTTCAAAACTATAGCATAAACAGTGGAACAAAAATCAGATCAAGAAGGAAATATTACAGATTGAGAATAGCATCTTCGTCTTCTTCCCCAGTGGTGATAGCGACTTCTTCAAGCTTGATGATCGGAGCGACATGTGCTCTGATGTATTCATCTTCGGATGCGATGGTTGAGGCAGAACATACCGATGAAAGACGATTATCGGCGGATCAAGAGAAGGATGGTTGTCACTGTTTGTGAAAGTATCGCATGATGAAACGGAAATGGTTCTCTACAGTGGTGGGTGGTGCTTATGTGTCAGCGGCAGTTAGGGGTGATGCGGATGAGTCGGACTCATAATCATAATTTTGTTGGAGATGAAATTGTAGTTACCCGGATTATGATGACTTGTATGGAATAGTAAAGATCAAGTGAATCAATCGATCATGAAGAACATAAAGAGTAAATAAAATATGTTTAAGCTCTCATTAGATCTAGTAAACTATTATAAAGTGGATCTTGCAATAATTGTCTCACTAGTCTAATCTCTCCAAAATGGATATTTCATAAAATGGGAGCCACTAACTTCCTATTTATAGGAAAGGCTAAACCCATTACATATCACAAAAGGGCAAGCCACATCCAAGGAAAACTTTGCAACCCAACATTCTACCCCTCAAAGTTAGGATTGGTTGTCCCGACTTCAATTTCCAAACGATCTTCAAGCGGTTAAGACCAACTCCCCCTCGAAGTAAATCGATCTTCAAATCCGCTTTGAAAAAGAATACCCGAGAAGCTTTGAATACCTATTTCTACATTCTCCCCCTTTTTATAATCAACAAATTATTATACAACCCACAAAGGATGAAAAGTGCTCGCGGAATAAACTTGACGAAACTCCCCCTTAATGTGGGACAAAAATGCAATCGCGAAAATCTAGCACGAAAAACAATCACGAAAAGCCGAGAAAATTTTCCAAATTTTGTGAAAATTTTGAACTATGGGTGAGAGTTACAAGAAATTCGAAAACTGGGTAAAACAATCAATTTCGCAAATTCTGTAGGGACATGTTGCGACAAATTAGCTTCAAATGCAAAATTTTACCTCAAATACAAAACTGACATAAAGTGTCAATTCGCATCAACTGCAGGTATTTAATCTGGAAATTCTTCCCACTTCACAGAATTTTACCCCAAGTTTAAAATGGGTATAAACGGTCAAAATTCTTAGACTTCAGGGATTCGAAGTGAAACATCTTCACTCTTCACAAAATATTACCCCAATTCAAAAATGGGTATTATCTATCAGATTGCTGAAAGATGAGGGACTCAAATGCGAAATGGTATAGTTATTCCCCAATTCGTTCACAGTACGCGATTGAATAATATATGTAGTCGAATCCAATCAAAACCACCAATACTCGATTCGAACGACTCCAAAGACATGGGTTTGACTTCAAATTACATTCGAGTTGGACATAACATTTTCAATACTTTTGTTTCCATGCCACACAACCAACACAAGATACGATGGAAGAAACACAACCAAAAGGTACTTCGAAAGGTAGAAAGAAAGGGAAAAAGAAAGGGAAAGTGATCGCAAAAAGTGAAGAACCTCCACTATGCTAGACACTGGATAAGGAGGATGCTTTAGCGACTGTGTGGTGTGGGACTTCAAAATATCAAACTATAGGAAATGATATGAGGAGAATCGGTTTTTGGGAAGGCGCGCTCGGAAAATTTCACACACTTATTAAGAAACTTGCATATCGCAATACTGATATGCTTAGTAGCAAGTCAATTCCAATCAGTCATAGATGCACCAAGTTTAATGGGATCTTCAGCAAACTTTTTTTTTGCAAAAGCAAAGAGGTGCTAACGATTTTGATCTGTTCAAAGTCGCGATGGATCAATATCATGTCAAAATGGGTCACATATTCAAGTATCAAAAAGTATAGGAGATTTTGAGAAAAGACCCAAAATGGATTAAAACTCCAGCATTGTTAGAGGTACAATCAAAGAGGTCTCACAATTCGAGTTCGTTTGACGTTTCCGACGCACGAACTAACATCGATCACAACGCCAACATCGATGACATCTCCGACGACATCGAAAAGACCCCCCCCCCCCATGATGACCGTTCGGACGCAACAAAGTGAAGCGTGCTCAACGACATGCTGATGAAGCTGAAAGTAGGGCACAAGAGTTGCGGAAATGAAAGAAAAGTTCGACACCCACAATTTAATAGCACAAGAAAAAGTTGAAATACAACACCAACACTTGGAATTCTTTCATAGTCAAGCAGAGGAATATCAAATGATAAAAGGTTTGACTTTTTCTTTGGATGAGCGAGGAAGATATGTCGCCACGAGATTTGGAAGTGCTTCATGCAATCAAGGAGATGATTTGCAAGAGATATTTTGACAATGACTATCGTTTTATGTTTTTAAATTAGGATTATCATATCTTTTGCATTTAATGTTATTTTTTTGGTTTGTGTAATGTTATTTTTAATTTTTTAAATAATATGTTTAATTTAGGAAAGGAGATTAAGCTATTTTCCCGATGGAGAAATAGTGTTTGTTTGATGGACTTAGTGAGAAGATTACACCGATATGTATAGTTGACGGTGGTGGGTGTTTGATGGGGTCAAGTTGAAGATTGCACCAGAGGATTAGCGGGCAACGAAGGCTTTAATTACACCCATGTTGAAGCCTTGAATCATAACAGTTGGACGGATGAAAAAAAAAGTGACTGAGATTTGGAGAAGTGAGCCATATTAATTTAATATTCTTAATAAAAAATACAATAAATAGAAATAAAAAATGAACATATTAGTCTTTTTACCTGTATTTAACTTTTATTTTTAACCGTGGTATACACAGACAGTTTGCAACAAAATGAAACCATCATGACTATTCTCATAAAAGAAAAAAATTAAAAACAGAATGTAACTTTTCTATAAAACACAAGGTTCTCTAATAACAATAATAATAACTCATCCCCCTTTATAATCCCTTCCTTCGTGTACTTTCTTCTTCCCTGTAACCACAACAAATCATCTATCTTTCTCTATCTATATCTCTCTCTCTCTGATGCTCAACTTTGTTGAAGTGTTTCCTTATAATTTCTCGTCATCAACTTCACTGACTGCAGCTTCTTTCAATCTGTCACTGAATTTGATGAAGGATAACTCTAATACCACTTACAGTGATTATAACAATAGCCACAACCAATTAGAGGATGATACGGAGCTTGAGTTGGTTGGAAAAAACCCTAAATGCAGCTCTCACGAAGCGGTGGTGGATGATGTTCCTCCGACTAGCAGTGGCTTTGGTAACAGTGTAGGTAACGACTTTAATTCAGTTTCCAGATCAAAGATGACTAATACTATTAAGAAAGGTGAGAAGAAGATCAAAAAAGCTAAGTGTGCATTTCAGACCAGGAGCCAAGTCGATATTATTGATGATGGTTATAGATGGAGGAAATACGGTCAAAAGGCCGTCAAAAACAGCAAATTCCCCAGGTTTGATCCTTCTCTTCTTGTTCTACTTCTCAAAACCGTCTAAATTTACTTCTAAATCTTTTTAAAAGGAACAAGATTTGAACTCAAAATAATCAAATTTCACCTATAGGTAATTAGGTTTATGTCATTTTTAGTCGTCTAACTTTTAGTTTTGGACTTATTTGCTCATTTAATTCTTTGTAATTAGGGTTCAAGTCATTACCTAACTTTTGGTTTTGGACTCGTTTTGTCACTTAATTCTTTTTAAGTTTTAAAACATTATCAAACTTTTGGTTTTGTGTTCATTTAGTCACATAACTTTTTGGTTTGATCACGTAAAATTTGGATGGATTTATGCTCACTTAGTCACAAACTTTTAAAATTATGGTTATTTATTCACTAAACTTTTAAAATAAAACTATAAAAATGAACATAATTTTAAAAGTTAAACGGTTAAATAAGCACAATTTTAAAAATGAGATGACTAAATGAGTATAAATCTAAAAATTAAGTGACCAAACCAAATATCAAGTGAGTAAATGAAAAAAAGCTAAAAATTCAATAAATTCAATGACTTTTTAAAACTTAAAATAAATTAAATGATCAAACGAATAAAATCAAAATTTAAGTGACTAAAAATAATCTAAATCCTAATAACTATTTACGGTTTTAATTTAACATTACTTTCTTATATTATAGGGTATCTAGAATAATTATTTATTTACGAGTTCTTTATATTTTTTTACTTTAAAATAAAACATGTTCGATTTTTTTAGTATAAAATGATGCTTTTTCAATATGCATGATTTACCAACTTGTCGGCGTTGCTTACGTAATATTACACATAAAGATTGATTCTTTTTTCTAGAAAAAAGTCTCGTGCAACTTGCTCCCATGGTTATTATTTTTCAAAAAGAGCTAACATACTATATTTTAATAACATGTTGTGGGTATTTGATTAGTTTTCTTAATTAAGAAGGCTAGGGAGTCGTTCAGCAATGAGCTCTGTACGGTCTATGTGGTTTGAGCATACACCGTGCCTTGGTGATCTGAGTATCTCTTCCATCTAAACTCTCATTTATAAACAAAGATATATACGAGTCGATTGACAATATAATTTCTTTCTTATATCATATCTTTTGCATGGCCAAATGACGTGATGATATTAGGAACAAAAAAGATATAATTAACAATATAATTTCTTTCTTAAAGCAATTTAACAATTGAATATGATATTTGATGCAGAAGCTATTACCGTTGTACCTACCAAGATTGCAACGTGAAAAAACAGGTCCAAAGGCTATCAAAAGACGAAGGAGTTGTTGTGACCACTTACGAAGGAACCCATTCACATCCGATCGAGAAATCTACTGATAATTTTGAGCATATTTTGACTCAAATGCAAATCTACTCTTCTTGTTAACTGGATTGTGAATATAGATAAATCCCAAAATTTAGCTCGTTTTTAATGAGTAGTTTCAGAATTGCTTCAATTGTGTAATACTTTGTGTTTAAGTTGCGTAACATGTGCATTTTATATCTTTATTTGATAAGTTAAATCAATTTATTTAATTAAATAACATTATTCCCTTATGATATACGATTGTTCTAATAATATATGTAATTTTCCCAGAATTGTTATGTTGTTTATGATAATTCGCTGTTAAGCAAATTAGGAACGTCTTGGCCGAAAAGACAGCTAGAATATAAGATCATGTTATATTGTTATCACAGCAAGAAAAAACAGCATTAGTGAAAGGCAAAAGATACGTAATATCGCCGCTAATGCATCATCTCCAATCGCCGTTGTTCAGTGGCTAAGATTATGGAAGGTAGGAGGTGTTAAGGGAGGTGCTAAGGATGTTACACCATCATCTACCTTGTGCTAATGAGGGTGTTAAAGAAGAAGTTGTTATGGGTCTATGAGAGAAGAAATGAAAGAGAAGCTAATGAGGGTATTAAAGAAGAAGTTGTTATGGGTCTATGAGAGAAGAAATGAAAGAGAAAGTACGAAAAGTTGTTAAAAGATTAGTTGATTTGTATTTCTTTATATATTTTAATTTTTTTCTTCAAAATTAAACTATTAAATTATCACACTAGTACTTTTTTTCTTTTTTGTGTTAGACATAAGCTTATGTGGCATTAAAAAAACTTTTAAAAAAAATCATATGTAACAACGTACTAAAAGTGTTACCATTCCCTCCAACCTAATATAAAAATGTAGCACTTTTTCAATCGTTGCTAAAGCCACTGTCTTCATAATTACCATCACCGCGAACGAGGTTTAAGCATGATACCTCTCACATGCCCGTTTCGAGCATCCTAAGACCTTCTCAAATACACATATTCAATTGATCAAGCTCGGATTATTGGAGGAGGCCACGAATTCAATTTTTAGAGAAATCTCACTACTAAAACATTCTACATTTTACAAAGATTATCAATATACTTCTACTTTAAAGAAAAAAACAGCAATCTATTTCACTTTTAAGTAATAAAAAACTTATGGATTTCTACTATCGGGTCCACAACACACACACACACACATATATATATATATATATATATATATATATATATATATATATATATATATATATATATATATATATATATATATATATATATCTTCTAAATAAAATCATATTTCTTAGATAAAGTTCTTTTTGGTTCCAAATAAAATGTAACGTGCCAAAGTACTAGATAAAAAATTTTGTTTATAAATCAACCCAAACATTCATTCATTAATTTCATAAATATATAGAGTATCAAAAGTATTTCCAATAACATTATAGTAGTAACAAAATCATAAGTGTAAAATCTACTATGGATGTGATATTATGACATCTCCATTTTTCTCGATAAAAAAAATACATTTTTATTTATGTTTATTTTAAATTAGAGTGATCTTTATAAATGTGAAATTGGTCCCATAAAAAGTATTTTCAAAGAACATGTTTTCATTGATTATTAAAACTTGAGATATCATACACTACAAAAAATATGCCATTTAGTGGCACAAAAATAATGTCACTAAAAACCCAAAAAATGCCACTAAAGGCCGCTTAGAGAATCTGCGGCACAAATAAAAAGTGTCACTAGAAACGCTCCTACTAAAACCTTTTAGTGACACTTTTCAATTTTGACGTTGTAGCATTATTGGACTTTAGTGACACTTTTCAATTTTGACGTTGTAGCATTATTGGACTTTAGTGGCACTTTTTATTTGCCACAATATAATATAAGTTTTTTGTGACATATATTTTGTGCTGGTAACACTATAAATTCTAGAATTTATTTTGTTTTAATGGCACTTTTTTATGTTCTTTTAGTGGCACTTTTTTTTTAATTGTCACAATACAATAAAAATTTGTGGCACATATGTTGTGTCCTTAAATACTAATGTAATTCTAGATTAAACTACTAATATCAACGTATTTTTTAGCTATAATATAAAATAAAAAAGCTAATTAAATTATAATCCATAGAAAATAATAAAAATTCCATCGTTTTACATCAATGCCAAATAAGTTTAATTATCAAACGACAGACACAATAGAAGGGAAAAAAAACCTTATAGTTGAACTTCTCCAAACTTCATGTTATCTTGAATAACAACGGATACTAGCAATTTACAGTCAAATACACAAATGAAAATGTCATGTTTTATTGTAATTTTACTACCTACTTAAACACCAGAAGATGTTCTAATAATTGATATAATATCCAGGCAGCAACCTAAAACACATAGGAATATTTTAGTAAATACTCGACATAACTTGTTTTACATATTCAACAAATGGGATGAAAAGAGCCTTAACTTGTTAAAAAACTTTTGCAACAGGCTTAGCAGCATCAATCTGGAGCAAGTTTAGTAAATAGTTAGAAAGTTACACATTTGACCCTCAAATATCAAACACTGACTCTTTTATGAAAAAAGTGATAATATTACCTTTTCTACATTCATCTTAAAGTTGTAATATTAGATAATAGGGAGAGTAGTAACATGGAGACTGGATTCCAAAAAAATTTGACTCGCTTCCTAATTGTATCAATGTCATCATCTTTTCTAAGTTTTCTCTATTTTATAAAGAAATGAAATGTTGAAATAAGTAAAATTTATACAGAATATGGGAACAAAAGAGTAAACTTACAAATGTCAAATGGAAGGATTTATATATCCAACCGACTGAGACTCAATAGGACATATACAACCTTGTTTGACTAATAGCACTTCCAGTTGCTTCCTAGAACCATAGACGTCATAGATGCTTTTGAATTTCAAGTTACTAGTGGTAATATGTTTCAGATTGAAAAAGTGGGCATAAGTGGGATGCTATATAATGTTAAATTAAGGAAAGGATTTGTAATTGCTCTAATATATGTATTTAATTAGCGATTGCACCTTGCACAATACTACAGAAAATTTGTGTATGTATGGTAGGCAAGATAAAAGTAAAGCAAATTATAATTATACCTTCAATTTGGCCAAAATTTCTGGAGTTTTACTTCCTATAGCACCTACAAGAAAAACAAATCTAAACATTTGGTTATATTGAGATTTCCAATCATATAAATCCTGCAAAAGTAATCCAATTTTTATATATCTAAGCACGTCTCAAATGATAATGTACCTGAATATCTATATCCAGTAACTATGAATGATTAAAAAAGGTAATAAATAAATTGGTTTCGACACCTAAAATACAAATTTCAGTTCCTAAAAAAATACTTGTTGAGTAAAATCAATTGCAGTGCATTACTCCCCTTGGCTACACCTACAAACAAACAAAGCAGCAAATACCTTATAAGAACTTTCAGGTAGCCATGAAAAATAGCCGATCTCAATAAGCATTATTTATTATATTAAAAAGTGATCATCTCCTTAAGCCACTACAAGCTGAAGGCATTGTTTCAAATTTAGCATTATTACAACAACAAAAGATTGGTCGCTTTTATTGTTTGTTTTGATCTGGAGCACAATAAAATAAATTGTTTCCAACCTGATAGTTATCATTGCACTATTGGAGATTAAGTTCATCTTCTCCAACCACTTTTCACGTTTCAAGCCTCCAAACATTCTGTTTCAACTCCAACCACTTACCTTGCGATTGTAATAATACTAGTTGCATCAGGAATTAGAAATTGTTCCCCTCGGCTAGTTACAAATGTGTACTTCGGTAGAAAATAAGAATCAGATTATGAGTCGTTCAAAAAAAATTATAATATAATCCTATCAACATATAAGTTGAAAGATAAGTGCAAGTACTGGTAGATAATGGCAGACTCTTATGCAGTCAAACCAACAAATTCACAACGAATTCAATGAAAAAAACATATGCAATGTCCAATTTTACCCTACACAAATAACAAATATATCATCTAAAAGAGCTCAAACATCTACAATCAAAACTTTAAATCCTATCTAAAAATTTACAAAATCCCTAAAACCAAACAGATACAATCAGACGACAATGGAAGACAGGTACAAAAAATAGATATCAATGAAATACCATAGTTGATGGGTAACCTGAAGACGAAAATTTTCATTAAAGTGCAGGTTACATCTAAAATCAACACTCAGAAAGTTAAAAAGAAATTCACACAAATCAATCAAGTTTTTCAATGTATAAAAATCTACTTACAAATGATCATGCAAAAAAAAAAAAAAAAGAGACAACTTGAAATACGGAATAGTTTATATGGATATAACTTTTGTCGATGCATAGCAGAGCAATTATGAAAGAAATAATATTTTATCAAGTTTGCCAATAACTTCATTCACGTGCCAATAGAAAATCTAATAAATCATAGAAATAAAATAAGATACATCAGTATAGCAAGAAATTACTTTGATTTGAAGAATTGCAACGGCGCATCACAACCATTGATGAAGGTGGCAGATCCTGGTTCTAAATCGGCGTTTCTCTCTGTTCCTGATTCACAGGCGTTGATGACGGCGACTCATAATCTATACAGTAAAGAAACTCAGGTGAATCATATTCAGATTTCTTTTGTTGCTTAAAGAACCTTTCATCCGGCTCGTGATCCGAGGGTCGAGGCGGCGGTGATAGCATCCGGAAACTCCTTGTCTCCATTCTCGTTGAGTAGATTCGAAAAGATGGAGCTCGGAGAAGAGCGATAATTCAATAAGGAGCTCTGATTCTGATTCTCATCTTGCTGATCTTTAATTTTGAGATCACTGGTCGTGATCTCGATAAGGATCCGATGAAATCAACTATTTGATCTTGGCGTCGGCTAGATGTATGATGTCGTGAGCTGTGAAATGGGATCGATTAGGGTATAAGAAGTGGGGAAACGTAAAATTGCATTGATCAAAAAAAAATTTTAGTGGCACAAAAACAAATAGGTAAAATCACATAGTAAAACCAGTGGCATATAAAAGAATATACGACACAAAATGTAGATCTTTTAGTGACATTTTAAATTTTTATGTCACTATAAACATTAATATTAGTAACATAAATGGTTAAGTATCATTAAATCTATTAATTTTATAGTGTCATATAAAATATGTCACTAAAAACATATTTTAGTGGCATAAAAAAGATGTGCCATTAAAAATGTATGCCACTAAATGACATTTTGTTTGTAGTGATAATTGATACAAAACATAAGTATAAACATTATTGGCCTTATATTAACTTATTGTACTAAAGGCTTAAACTCCACAAATCTCTCAGTTGATTGTACCTTCATAATGTTTCTTGTGATACAAAAAAAAACTGAGTGCACTACAAGAAAAAGGGGCTTTGTGACTAAAATATCCGGGTCTGATTAATGAGTCTTGGATATAATGTATCTAGGACTGATTTTAATGTACAAATCATTAAAGATTGGCCGATCTTTTTCGAGACTAAAATTCAATCCGTAATTTGGTTGCGTCAGATTAGGTTTGTTAGGAAACACATTAGGGACTGAATTTCAGTCTCAGATAGTTTAGCGCAAACTTTGAATTTTGGGGGAAAGTTATGAGTGACTGAATTTCAGTCCCTGGTAGACTTGGGTCAGTTTTGATT